ACACACACACACACACACACACACACACACACACACACACACACAAAATGAGTATAATGAGTTCACTTTGTCCTTACCCATTACACACTGGATCCATCGTCAGCACCTGAAGGACAACGCAGTGTCATCAGTCTAAACACTCAGTCTGTGATTTTCAGAAATGTGATGTCTCTGAGTTTCTCTTGAACTTCTCCCTACTTGCCTGATAAAGTTGGTCCATGTTGATGTTAGCCTGGCCCGTATTGTTCAGTGCCTTGGATGCTACTTCCCTAAAAAGAGGCAGAACAGTGACCAAACATTGTGTTAGACGTTAGAAATGTGTGACAGTCGTGTGAGATGATCCACCTTCGATGATCTAACGGCGGGGTTGGACGCCAGTGGTCATAGTTCGTCTCCACTCTGTACCATCTAAAAAAAAGGGGGTCAGGAAAGCACCAWTAAATGTTTGTTCAGTTGTGTAACCACGCTGACATCTCCTTACCCTCCGTGTAGTGGGTCCAGTGGCCAAATATCCACGGGGCCTGCTCGGTCCCGGGTGATTACGACCCCCTCCCCGGCTCGCGCCCCGCCCACGATGTAATACACCCCTGCGATGAGGGGGGTTTTCGACAGACGCATGACTGCGTCCTGAAAGTCCTCTGCTTCCTCCAGAGCCTGCACAAGTTACTCACAATTACTTTCACTTCCTCCTGTTTATTCCTGTTTTAGAGAAGCGTACCGTGACGCACTGACCTCCCTCAGGAGCCAGCTGACGGGCGATCTGCGGAGCAGGAACGCGGACACGAAATTCTTCCACCAGTTCCACCAGCGATCAGTTCCTGGTGAATCAAACACAAACTTGAAAACGGCGAGAAATCATAAAGTGTACTGTTTGGTTTCAACAACCATGGGTAGTCTTACCTCTCTGGTCACCAGACACGCTGAACTTGTAAGGACTCTGTCCCGTCCACAAACCAACGTAACCAGCAAACGAAGTTCCAAAGTACGCCACCTTAAAGAGTGTACCGATTAAAACAATCACACCAACTCTTCTTTAACTGTAGTAGCGTGGGCTCAGTCAGTGTTGTTTAAAGCAGAGATTCTTAACCTATGGGCCGCGGCCCAATTGTGGGCCGTGAGCGCCACCTTGATGGCCTCAAAAGAACAACAGTTTTTAACGTTGGGCCGCAGAGGGCCGCGGGACCACATTGATTTTGAATAAGGTGCAATACACTTTCTCACCACTAGTAGCAGTAGTGCACCACTCAGATGTTTAACAACTTTTTAATATGTAGAAGAACCTTAGAAACCTGCCGAGAATGGAAACTTATTTTGAATGAAAAGTAGAGG